GGGGGGGGGGGGGAGGGGGGGACTATGCCAAGCTGTCCATTATGTGACTCTGACACGTGCTACTTCGTTTCTTCTTTGCCTTTTGCCTTCAAGGAAATGTTCCAAGATGCGCGCCCGGCATTACGGCTCTCATGTCAATGCTACTCCCGACAAGTCCCCCACCTGAAGAGCAACTGCCAAGCAGATTGAATGCTGATTGTTTCATTCATACAATGCAAAACCTGCTTAGCATCAGTGGCATTCCTATAGTTGGAGGCACCTTCCAACAGCTTCCCCGGGCCAATCGTCAATGACAACATCCGAGCCCACCAAACTGAGACTCACCCACACGCGCTTGCACTTGCACACACAGCGTCCAAACTCAACAAGCAAGCACGGGGCATACGTACATGCAAGATAGCTTGATCACAAACATATCCAGAGAACACAGCAAACAAAGTCTGATTCTGAATCTTTACCAAAAACATCAACGGGACAACAGACTGGATTTTCTCAGAAAAGTCCAGAGTACTTGCAAAGCACAAAACAAAAACGATGCTCCAAAGGTAACGGCTCCCCAAACAAAACACGCACAGATAAAGAAAAAAGAATGTTCGGTGGTCTTCCATGCTATTTTCTTGCATGCGGGTTTCCGTCTGCTCTCAGGCTCTTCTTTTTCTTATTGTGAAAGAAGCAGCATCTGATAGGGCAGTTCCTTATGCGTTTTCTTTCTTTTGTGCTTTTTTCTTTTTCTGTTTTTGCGGGCGAAGCCGCAACGGGTCATCTAGTGATTATAATTGGCCTTAACTCCTATACTGGGAAGCAGAGCACAGTTCGTCTCCAACAGCAAGTCAGAATGCATTAACTCAGATCCTCTCCCCATTTATGCTACGAGATCCATAATCTATTTCAATGATTCGCATTGCTCACTGTTATGAACATACAGCCACCAGGAGTGCTCAGTCAATCATCAGTTATCATGGACTATGATGACAGGAGGCTCACCTTTGAGCAGACATAGCAGTTCACATTAGGCATCTCAAGTTCTGCAGACATGATCAGCTTCTTCTTTGCCGGGTGCTCCAGACAGAAGACTTCTCTGCAGAACCACAACAATAGCGCTCAGAGCAACAGAAAAGAACCCTGTCTGAACACTACGAACATAAAATCACTTCACCACGGTCTCATTCATATTGAAAAACGGATGTTCAAAAGCAGCTCTAGTCTTTGCATCACCACTTTTGTTGTTCCTATCACTGTCATTTCGTGATGCAATTACCAGCTCCGTGAGCTTAAATCAATTACAACCTTTCAAACGAGTCATTTAATCATTAGCTCATATGCCCCATGGGCTGTTGAGCACGCACAGCATACCCTCCACTGCAAAGAAGAAGGACAGCTGAGCAGGGCAAAGGTCCAAATTCACAATCAAATTCTGAGCATACATACTCTCTCTCTCTCTCTCTCTCTCTCTCTCTCTCTCTCTCTCTCTCTCTCTCTCTCTCTCTCTCTCTCACACACACACACACACACACACACACACACANCACACACACACACACACACACACACACACACACACACACACACACACACACACACACACACACACACACACAATCAAATTCGAACACTTACTGGTATATCACCAGTTGGTCAGCTTGACAGTTAAACTAAACTCCCGCGAGTGCGCCCAACCAACCATCTCTGCTCTGTGTCTGCCTTGCGCATTACCAGATTCTGTCTCGTGTAGTTGAAGCGGCCCTTCCTTCAAAGCCAGACCCAGACGACGGTCAGCCAAGTTCCAGATGCTACTACACAGTGTCACACACCATTTTTCTCAATCATTTTCAAGAGCCTTTCATTTCCCACTCACTGTGTGCTCTTCTGGTTTCATTGTCATCACCTGCCCTCCCTTCTGTTCCCCTTCTTTCGGCTTCTTCTACAACTCTCCATAGACTCTTTGCACAGCATGGCACGAAGCGTTGATTCAATCAAAGCATTTCGCAATGTCCGCATCAAGCACATCTTTGGCTCTGGGTGGTTGGTTGCCAATCATGAATATTGTTTTTCTTTTTTGGATTCCGGGCTCGATTTGGTTGCCCATCATGAATATTGCTTTTCTTTACTGGATTCCGGGCTCGGTTTGGTTAAGTATAAAAGCCGAAGACTATCAGTTTGTCATATATTTGGGTTCGTGGAGCATTTCTTTCCAGAAACAAAATATTTGCACTTACTCCCTCCATTTTCCTGAAGCCCCCAGCAGCACCGCCACTCTTCTGCCCTTTCTCTATACCCTGTCTGACAATCTCTCTCATTTGCTCAATTCACTTGTCACTTTTTTTACCTGCATTTCCCATGTCTCTGCCCGTCCCTTTCCTGTGTTGTGCGAGCAGGTTTTGTGCATGATGTGACTAACACGATCACTAATGATAGCAGAAATCCTGAAAACGGGTAATAATCATCTTGAAAGAGAGAAGGATAAGCTAAGAATTTGTTGATCAGTGGATTGAGACAAAAAAAACTCCATTGCTGCCACAAATAATGGCACAAATTCCCATTGAGACTACAAACAAGAAAGCCTTCAGCCAGAGTGATATCCACATGATGAAACCTCATTGCTTAACAAGCTTATGCAAATTTTGCAATAACAAGACGGTGCCAGGACTTCAGGAAAGGCCCCTACCATATGCGGCCAAAGTTCTCTTAAATCATTGCAAAAATATAAAGATCGAGTTGCGTTTTGAGCTCCCCATCGCAGCAAGCCATCAAGTAAACAAACGCACCACTGTGAACACATGGCCTTTCACGAAGTGACAGTACTAATAGACTAAGCACCCCTTTTAGTGAGTATGCTCCAGATCTGTGAATGTGAGACTGGGCAAAAACAACAAACCTGCAAGCGTCCGTTTGATCATTCAAGACCTTGAGAGATTCCAGAACAATGAGGCCTGCAATTATAGCATTTGTCGTTGCAATTGCATGCACAATGTTTCCTGCAACACCCTTTGCATCAAAGAGGCTCTGCATAGATATGCCAAACGAGAACGCACGCAAGTTTGCAGCTGCAGTCACAAACTCGACGGCGAGTGTGTCATCCTTGTCGAACGTCAGGCAACCTATCTCCTGTGCACATCACACAGAGACAAAAAATGCAGCAAAGAAGTCGAACAGTTGGTACACACATGAACTGCTGAAACATAGACCTGATGGACCTTGCTGAATGGAATTATGTAAATTACCTAGGGCTGGTCAGAATGATGAAGATATCCAGAGGCTGTCGCCCTTTCATTAAAAAAATAGAAGGAAAAAATTACCTAGGGCCGGTCAGAATGATGAAGATATCCAGAGGCCGTCGCCCTTTCATTAAAAAAAAAAAGAACGAAAAAGAAAGAAGTCGGCGCAAGAGAGAGCCGCATTCCATGCCAATTTCCTCTGATGCTTCACAGATGCTACTGAACACATTTTGGTGTGCCACGGAGAGGAGGATGGTAGCCTGACAGTATAGGGAAGAAGGAGAGAAGAGGTCTGCAAGTTTCATATTATTATATATTCAATCGACTCAACATCAGGAAGAGCTGCTTTTGACCCTGTTGTGCTGTTGCCCCATGGTGTTCTTCAAGGTGTCTTGGCCCTAGCATTGATCCCAGACCATCGACGAGGGCCTCCACCGTACAGATTTGTAACGCCTGTGCATCACGACCTTAGTCAACCATATCAATCAGGACACAATAACTGGTGAGAAATACCACTCGCCGCTCGAACGAACTGTTCTGGACCACCTCATTACTGCTAAGTTGCTAACAAAGGACACTCTATGTATAATATTTAAAGCCTGGGATCTGAAGTCGGCTTCTTGCCGCATTACTGCAACCATTTTTCCAAGAGTAAGTATGCTGGAGAGGGTAATCCGTTTCCTCCAGAAATCCTTCGACACCCAAGTTTGGTCATGGACCCATGGTCCCGGGTCCAATCAGCGCACTCCGCCAAAGCAACAAGATTGGCAAAGCTCTCCTTCGTTGTGACACACACGTGATCGAATTGGACAAGCCCTTTTCAGGTTCACGCATAAGGCAGTCAGCACAGGGAGAACAAAGAACAGTGAGCGAACCCCCAAAGATCAGCTTGAAAACGGCCTGACTATGTCAAATCAATTTAAACATCTGAGAGAGGCTCAGCCTTCACAAGCCGATTTAAGGCTTATTGCCCCATTTGAGCATCTATAGGTCTTCATTAGGAAATCTGGCAAGCACATTGAGATAGTGAAAATAAATTAACTTCAGACAGCACGCATTTGATTTCGGAACGCTGGTGAAAATAAATTAACTTCAGAGTCCAGACAGCACGCATTGGATTTCAGAACGTAGGTATATAGACATAGCACAGTGCATGCCCCTTATGGTGAGAAGGATTGCTTCGACTTCGTAGGCTAAGAGAAGGGTGTCCTTGTCCTCTTGAAATAAACCTGGAACATACCTCTGGACGCTTTTCCACAAAAAGCCGCAGACTCTCCAAAAAGACTCGCGTGTTCTCTTTCAAGCTCCAGACTTTCTGAAGATCCATCAGACCTAATGATGCAGCTGCCGAAAGGCCTCTTTCCCAAGGACCAGCGGCCATACTATCCCTCTCCGTATGATTGACCGAAGCACCAGACTCGTCTACTCGCTGTCGCTTGGCGCCTCTCTCAGCTCCACAGATTTCCACATCCGGCTCAGCTGTGTCATCTGGATCCCCTCTGCATTCGTCGTCCTCACCGGCACCCGCCCACACATCTTTGACATACAGCGGTGTCGGTCGGCGTCGATTCTTCCATAGATCATCCATTTCCAAGGTCTTCATTACGTTGAAGCCAAAGATGCGGTCAAATATCCGTCGGGCAAAAGCCCTCGAAGTTTCTGACTCCTTGCACCATTCATAAGAATATTTCTCTTCGGTTTCATGCCCTTCACTCCTCGCATCCTCCCCTGCACCCCCGCCTTCAGCCATAACTCTTATGTCAAGGTCATTGGCCACACCCCGTTCACCAAACAGCTTCGCAAAAGGCAGCTCCTTTGCCCAGACGATGCAATGGACTGGCTGCAGAAAAAGAATCATACCGACTGCAATCGTAAATCTTCACATAACATTGCAAGAAACACGCAACACAGATTTCAAAACGCAAAACAGAGTCATCACCATCATCATCATCACTGCAAAAACTTGGAATTTCAAACAAAATAGGAACAAAGAACTTCGATTTTCACAAACCCGAGAAAAAAAACTAGGGACGATTCAAAAGGAAAAGACAAAACATCGAGAGAAGGGCGGCACCCAAGGGAGCGTGGAGGTGGGGGAGGCTCTTTGAGAATCGACCTTGTACTCTGCCCAATAGACGGGCCAACAGGGAAACATGTCATATGATTCCCATACATCCAACCTTGCGAAAAATCACTGCCTCACACATGCTCAGACTGCAATACAAGCACGGATCCAACAACCATTCGACTACCAGAGGGTCGAACATAAACACACTCCTTGTTGTCATCACCTCTTTTACTTCAAGTAGCGCTTGCCGTGCAAGTCAGTCTTGCTGAGCAAGCGTGTCCCAAGCAATTGAGCTCAAAGCTCTGCATGCCACACTTTTGCAGCTCCCTCCATTGTAAGCCCCACCCTGTCCACATAAAAGTCGTTCTTCCACAAAAACAGCTGTCTGTGCAGAGAGGTTCGCTGAGATCTAGTACACACAGTGTGCAGTCCATGGACATCACTGCTGGACTTTTGCAAACAGGCACTGCAAGAACCCACACGGCCAGTACAAGTGCAAAGAGCCACCTATCTATAAGCATAGGTAGCGGTCATCACAGGCGTTCACATGGGTACTTTTAAGGGATAGGGCACAAAACAAACCACCAAGTTGCCCAAAACCGCACATTCCGACACTAAGCAAACAGATCGCTATGCAGAATGTGACAAAAACGCTTCAGAACACAACACTCTTGTCCAGCAGTGACAAGCTCGTTCATCCTCCGTTCTCTTCATACCTTGCTAGGCGTGTTTGTAATCGTACACGTTGGATATGACTTGGGCATGGCCTTCGCTTTGCACTCATAGCACTCCGACTTTCCCTTTATGTGAACCGTAACCTGCCAAAGAAGGCCAAACAACCAAAACGTGTTAGTGCCTCCCAGTCCGACAATCCATGGGTCTTGGGTCTTGGG